GGCCTTTCAGTATCTTTCTATATTTAAAGATGATATTTAAAAAATATTTAATTATTATTAAAAAATTAAAATTTCATTCCATTTAAAATTTCATCTACATCGCCATATTTATTTATCAATCTAAAAAAAAAAAAAATCAAAAAAATATTTAAATGCATGTATTTTTTACCTTTAAGATTTATATTATTCGGACCATCAATTCAAAAATATATTTATTTTACAAATTTTTTTTTCAAATAATGTCTTTTCAATGGTTGGAATGTCAAAGGACATAATAAGTGGATAAAAGCGTTGGTTAAAAACAGGATTTGATTCAATAACGAATGTATCAATACCCAGTTAAGGCAAAATATTTTTTCCGTTATAAATTAAAAAGATAACTGACAACTGGCATCCATTAAACAAAACGTGGAACTAAATAAGTTGTATAGTGAGCGAAATATTTATTTTTGAATATAGATATATTGTGTCCATTCGAATGAAAATGTTTATCGTACAAAATGGACCGAAACCAAAAAACGATTTATGACGACAAAATTTGGGACTGTTTTTAAATAATGAATTTAAAAAAATTCTTTTGAAAAAAAAAAATGATGTTTTTGATTATCAAGATTTATTTTATTAAATATAAGAACAGAATTTATTTTCAGAAAACATCGTTTAGTAAAATTAAAATTTTCAAGTGAAGTTCTGAAAGATTGAAAAACAAAAACAAAAAAAAAAAATCTTATCTATTTATATATGATATATTTTAATTAATTATATGAAAAGAGGAACGATATTGCCTAAAATAAATATAAATGTTTTTTAGAGCAAAATAACTGAAACGACATCATCAAACACTGGACAAATAATTATATTTAAAAAAAAAATAGGCATTTAACGATAAATCATATAATAACATTTTAGATTGTCGAAATTGATATCATAAAAAATTAATATCAAACAAAAAAATAAAAGAAAAATAAATCAAATACATGAAAAGCATTCTGTTCCCGGATCTTCATTTTCGAACAATAATATGACATCTATTATGAAAAAAATAAATTTTATGAATATTAAATAAAAAGAAATGACTCAAATTTTTCTCTTTGAGTTAAGACATTATCCATTTTCATTTTGTTGATGCTGATGAAAGTCCTCAAAATGATGTAGTTTCTGTTATTTGATACAGTTTTTTTGTTTATGATCAATAGCGCCTGAACAAATGTTCAAAGATGGATGATTTATTTTGCTTAAAAATTTAACGGACTTCATTTGGTCAAAATTTCATTTTAATGATATTGATCATAGGAAAATAAAAAAATGTATGGGTTTGACATCATTTGTAAATTTGCAAAGAAATAACAGAATATATTAGTAGATTTATAGATATATGATTGAATGTGAAAGAGATTTTGAAAACGTTCAATTTGATATCATATATGTTGAACTAAATAAATTGCCTCAATGAAATCAAAATAAATTTAAGTTTTATTATAAACTGACAGATTCCATAGTTCATTGCTCACACCTGTCTTCTTGCAGTACTAATGCAATAATATATTTGGTGAGATAATGAGATAGATATGAACAGAATGAATTTGATACAAACAAAAAGATAGATAGATGATAGATAGATAGATAGATAGATAATGAACAGACATAGATAGATAGATAGATAGATAATAGATAAAACATAGAATATAGATAGATAGATAGATAGAAGATAATGAACAATTAGATAGATGAAGAATGATAGATAATAGATAAATAGATAGATAATGAACAGATATTTAAATAGATAGATAGATAGATAGATAGATAGATATGAATAGATAAATAGATAGATAGATAGATGATAGATAGATAGATAGATAAAGATAGATAGATGAATATATATAGAAAGATAGATAGATAGATAGATGGATAGATAGATAGATAGATAGATGAATAATGAATAGATAGATAGATAGATAAAAACAGATAGATAGATAGATATAGATAGATAGATATGATAGAGATAGATGAGATAGATAGATAGATAGATAGATGAATAGATAGATCCATAGTGTAAAGGTTTTTAGCCGTTTTTTTTTTTTACTTCTTCTTTACCTGTCTTTTTAATTTTCTTTCATCATCACCGGTCCTTGTCTTTTTCACACACACAGACATTTCATATAAATATAGACACACACACGTATATAAATATCAGTTAGGTTGTTACATATATTCGTTCGTTTTTTTTTTTTAATTTTTTTATGTTTAGTGAATGATCTCAAAGAATAATATTTCGCACTTTTTCGTTTTTTTTTGAAATGTTTATTATATATCTATCTGTCTATCTATCAAATGGATCTATCGATATATGGAGAACAAATTTCGAAAATATCCTATAAACAGCCAATAGATATTTATCTTTGTTTACATCAATCTCAATCTGTTTCTTTCCATCTATCTGTCTAAGTCTCTATTCATGTTGTCTAACATTATTGAAATTTTATTTCAGATTAGACACCCTTTTGAGATGAAATGCTAAACTGACAAGAAGGCTCAGGTCCGTCCGACATCATCTCTTTGCTTCTAATCAAGGTCAGAAACTTGTCAAAGACATTTGTGCTGTGTACGGAAACATTACCGACAGAATGATAGGAAATGCTTCAAAACTGCCGAACGGTCAATCTCAAGTTTCTTTCCATCTATGGGCTGAAAATCTCTACGAAGGTGGTCTAACAATTGAAGTTTTACAGATTGGTTTTTGAGATGAAGGTGGGCTGAAAACTGACAAGAAGATGGGCTGAAATCAGCTGTACGAAAGTGGGCTGAAACTTGTTGACAGTTGGGCTGAAAATGGGAGAAGTTGGTCTGAAAACTGAACGAAGGAAATGCTTCAAAACTGTACAAAAGTGGGCGTGAAAAGCTGTACGAAGTTTGGGCTGAAAAGCTGTACGAAGTTGGTCTGAAAAGCTGTACGAAGTTTGGACTGAACCTGTGTAAGAAGTTGGGCTGAAAAGCTGTACGAAGGTGGGCTGAAAAGCTGTACAAAAGTTGGGCTGAAAAGCTGTGTACGAAAAAGGTGGGCTGAAAAGCTGTACGAAAGTGGGCTGAAAAGCTGTACGAAGGTGGGCTGAAAAGCTGTACGAAGTTGGTCTGAAAAGCTGTACGAAGTTGGGCTGAAAAGCTGTACGAAGGTGGGCTGAAAAGCTGTACGAAGGTGGGCTGAAAAGCTGTACGAAGGTGGGCTGAAAAGCTGGCTGAAGGTGGTCTGAAAAGCTGTAAGTTGGTCTGAAAAGCTGTAAGAAGTTGGTCTGAAAAGCTGTACGAAGGTGGGCTGAAAAGCTGTACGAAAGTGGGCTGAAAAGCTGTACGAAGGTGGGCTGAAAAGCTGTACGAAGTTGGGCTGAAAAGCTGTACAAGTTGGTCTGAAAAGCTGTACGAAAGTGGGCTGAAAAGCTGCTGGAAAGTTGGTCTGAAAAGCTGTAATGAAGGTGGGCTGAAAAGCTGTACGAAGGTGGGCTGAAAAGCTGTACGAAGATGGGTTGAAAAAGCTGTACGAAGGTGGGCTGAAAAGCTGTACGAAGATGGGCTGAAAAGCTCATAGGCTGACTATGGAGGATGCTAGAGCTGAGAAATATTGCATGCATTAATTGCAATTCTTCTTCATTACTTCTTTCCAGGTAACATCTGACTGTTCACAGAAAACTTCAAATGTAACAATTAGCAACTTCTCTTGAAAATAGACAAAATTTGACATCGTTGTATTATTAAGTATCTGCAGAAAAAGGGTTTGGCACCGAAGGATATTCCTACCAATACGGTTGTTAAATTGGGAGAGATGACGTTACAGCTTTATTAACAGTGCAAAATTAGGCAGCCGAATATAAATGGAGAAGGAAAAGTCTTGAAGATGACCCAAAATCTAGACGTCCTGCAACTACCACCACCAAGAAAAATAGTAATCGTGTTTATTATATGGTGAGGGTTTGGTTTGGTTTGTTTTACGGCATATCAACCTCAATGCGTTATTTAATACTGACAAATTTTTTATTATTAGTAATATTATTTTTTTCAAAAATGTATTGGTAGTAAGATTTTTTCCTCCAAAAAATCTATTTCTCATAATATTTTTTTCCAAAAAGGTACAGTCGGTAATATTTTTTTTTCAAAAAAGTATCACTGGTAATATTTTTTTTCTAAAATGTACTGCTGGTAATAATGTATTGCTGGTAATAATCTTTTTACAAAGTATTTCTGGTATTAAGACCTATTTTTACACTTTCATAGTGTTTTGACCCCAGTTTGGGGGTTAACTATTTATTCATAGCTGGGACCATAATAGGTCAGGTGGACCTGGGAACACTAGCAATTAAGAGGTGGTTCCAGGACCCACAAAACCTTCTGATCAGATGCCTTGTTGTTGGACGTAATTTATCGTCTTACCCAGGACGCTACATGATGAGGGATGACAGGCGACTGACTATAAATTAAAAGTCCTGCTATTAGCATATCACGTGAGAGAGTTGAAAATATTTTTTTTAATAATAAACATTTTGTCCATAAAACTTTTTCATCAAATTTGGGACCTTTGTTCTGCGAATTAGTGGAGGCACCTACTCAAAACGCATTTATTTTGCCACAGAATTCGGGTTAGACATTTTTTTTAAATGTATGGAGAGAGAAAAAGTAGATAAGAAAAAGTTTGTCTCTAAATATGAGTTCAGCTAAAAAACAAGTGAAAATAAAATAGAAGAAGGAATTCTCGTTGTTTTGATGAAAACATTTGTAAAATTTCGATTATTTGGAAATCGATATAAAAAATTCTGACTTACACTTGATTTCGTTTCGATTTCACTTGAATGAAATGAGTTTTTCTTGAAATTTGGGAAATCAAAAAAACGACGTCTTCTTCTTGGTGTTGTTTCTCGCAAAATGAAGTGAACTGGAAAGCGCTGTGACGTCATAGGAGATGAAGGCATTTCATTGGACGAGAATAATCACACTATTGAACTGGAGTGAGTTTCCTAAGACAACAAAGGAGTGAAAGTATGGAGGGATAAATGAAGGGGAGGAAGAAGGAATAAAAGAGAGAAGAAAGGCTTTAATGAAAGAGAGATTAGTTTTTCTTCAAATTTGAGGGACCATAAATATGACGTCTTTTTCTTTGTGTTGTTAAGATCTATTGCACAATTGCGGCACAAGACCGTAAAAGAGAGGAATGGGGTTGAGGCTGGTCGTCACTTAATATCCTGTACCTAGCTAATCTGATTCACGACTCATTCATTCATTACAATTGACACATTCATCACAAAAACTCATCCATCACTAGTCAATCCTCCATATGCCATAATACCGCATACTCTGGGGGGGGGAGCTAAAAAAACGCACCCCATGACATAAAAATTTTCTTTGCGTTGTTTCTCGCAAAGTGAATCCTGCTGGAAAGTTCTGTGACGTCATAGAAGCTTAAGGCAATTTCATTGGACAAGAATAATCACGCCAAACCCAGTCTGAAGGGCGTTTCCATCTACAATAAGCGAGGAAAAGTATGAAGGGGTAAGTGAAGAGTTGGAAGGAGGAAGAAGTGCTGTGACGTCATAGAAGCTTAAGGCATTTCATTGGACAAGAATAATCACGCCAAACCCAGACTGGAAGGCGTTTCCTTCGATAACAAGGGAGGAAAAGTATGGAGGGGTTAAATAAAGGGAAGGAAGGAGGAATAAGATAAAGAAGAAAGGGTGAGAAAAGGTTTCTGCTCGGTGGGTGCCACATGGTCTGATACCGGATCAAAAGCACACAAGTACACAACTTCTTGGTTCCAATGGCTTCTGTGCATTACTGTAGCTTTAAACTTGTTGCTAACCCTCCTATTCTCTTGATTTGACTATCATCTGTTCCCCAAATGGAAAACACTTGACTTGGGAACCTGTACCGCAGTGATGGTGACGTCATATCTACTGCTATTGAATTTTTTGACCTACAGGATGAAAGCTTCTCCACCAATGGGATTCAAGCATTGCAACACCAATGCAAGAAGTGTGTGGATGAAAAGAGCAAATATGTCGCAAAATAAACCTCATTTAATCGCATTCTATCAGAGTATCTTAGTCAATATATGAACTTTTCATTTGACCCTCGTACATACGACCTCTGATTTTTTTTTTTTTTTTTCACATAACACGTATATAACCTCAGCTTATAAGCAATGTTAGGAGGCGTACCATAGTCAAATATTGTAGTACTGGGCAACATCCTAGACATATTTTATAGCAAATAAATTCATTTTTTTTGTACAAAGCTACTCCAAAATGGAAAGAAAAACCATTTACCGTAAAATATGATACAAAGATTTAAATATCGTGCTTTTTTTCTGTTCATGCAGGACTACGGTATCTCCTTTAACCTGGGCCTATCTCCCACGTAGCTTAAGTTTCCTTCTTTTTGTGGAACATGAAGGCTAAAACCTCATCCACTATGGATGCCATTTAAAATCAACAAATAATTTATGTAAATGAAGAAATTTTCCCATCTCAAATTTGCATTCATCTTTGTTTCGCAAGAGTTTACATAAATGAGGTATTGCTTTTTCTAGTGACAACCCTTTAGGGTGTCTCACGAATTGAGGTACATAATGCATGGTGTCCCACGAGTTGAGGTACATAATACAGGGTGTCCACGAATTGAGGTACATAATGCAGGATGTCCCACGGGTTGAGCTACATAATGTAGGGTGTCCCACTAGTTGAGGTACATAATGCAAGGTGTTCCACCTGTTGAGGTACATAATGAAGGGTGTCCCACGAGTTGGGGTGCATAATGCAGGGCGTCCCACGAGTTAAGATACATAAAGCAGGGTGTCCCACGATTTGAGGTACATACTTCGGGTTATGATAATACAAGCCCTCCTTAATAAAACGTACCCTATACACAAATGTTGTTTTTTGCTAGAAACTGTGGTTTTTTAATCGTTTGCTTTTATGTGTTGCCGGAGCTTTTCTTGTAGCAAGAGAAAGAAAGAATCTAGGCTAATGGAGGCAGGCTACTGGGGGCAGGCTAAAGGAGCCTACCTGAACCGTTAATGTTAGCCAAAGGTGCCGTGAGAATGTACGCTTACAGTCACCGAAAACGCCTAAACTTTAACCTCTCCTGAAAAAAAATTGCGCGTGTATAATATAACTGGTCACTGAAAATGCATGTTTTTTAAACTCTTCAAAAATTACCTGTGTATAGTGCGACCCCACTATTTTTGCGTAGAAATTGATCATAAAATCTTGCACTATACTCGACCATATACAGTAGTTTTTTTTACTAAATTTCAACTAATATAAGGCTCCAGAGCCACTCAAGGTAGATGTGTGAAATAAGAGGAGGACGTAAGAAATGAAAGTAGGGAAGATAACGAATTAACTTTGGCAAAGTAGCAGTTTTGGCGGGAAAAGAGTGGAACTTCTTTCAAACAGAGGTGGGGATAAAATGGATTCGACTTTGTGGGTGGGCGTAGCATGGTGAGTTAGCTTCTTCTTTTATGTGCCGGGTTTCTTCAGGACGTTGGCGATCATGGATCTCCACCATTTCCTGTCTTTTGTCGCTCTTAATAAAGTTTGATTTTTGTTATCTTTTCTAAACCTTACTCCGCCATTTATTTATTCATACTCGCTAGGGAGGTTAATCATTGTTTATTTTTCTGCCCCTCTTGCCTTTAATTTGTCTTGTGAGTACCAAACTTTCCAAGCCCACTTTCCTCATTATGTGCTCTAGAAATTTAAAGTCTCTTCCCGATGTTAAGTATAAGTCTCCTTTTTGTTTCTATTTTCTCTAAAACTTACTCACATGTTCGGTCCATGGCATTCTCAGCATCCTTCTGTGGAACCACATTTCTGTTGCTTCTAGGTCTCTTCACCAATGAGGAGAATATCCAGTATTCACTGTCATATCACAGGACCGATATTACATAACAGTCCAGTACACTTATCTTTGTTTTTAACGATATTTTCCTGTTACTTAATACTTTGCTTAGCTTTTGAAAGACTTCTTTCACTATACCTCTGCGCCTTCGGATTTCAGGGTCGCACTTTAAAACACTGCCCAGATATGTAAATCGTTGTACTTGTTTGATTTTGGTATCTCCAATTTGTAATTTGCATGTTGGGATGTCCCTTTTGCTCGCAACTATGCATTCTGTCTTCTTGGAATTGATGTTTAGTCCTTTCTTCTCGATTTCCTTCACTACTTTTTGTAGGAGTTCTTGTAGTTTCAATGATAATGGCAATGGTAATATCAGCCGTTTTCCTATAAGGAAACATTTGGCATTCATTGACTTAGCAGCCAGTACTGTTTTCGGTTGCAAAAAATATTTCTCGTAAAACAATTTTTCGTTTTTTCAAGTCCAGTAGCTGTTATAGATCTTTCCAGTATTAGTGGGAGTTTCCTTACTTCCCTTTTATTTGAAGTAGTGTGGAATACAATTTCTTTTTATGTCGGGAGGCAATACGCGTACTTATAAATACAAAAGAGTTTCTTGAGCCCGCGGCTACTGTCCATCTGGCATCGATATTACATCGAACCTGCACCTCTCTTGTCGCAGATTTGTAATCTTCAGGACCGGACGTTTTCTCCCATCTCAGATGAAAGGGGAACACTAAAACGTGACGGGTTAAAAGTTGTGGAAAAATTAGGAACAGAAACATTAATAATGAGCGGGATGAGAAAAGGGTAATCAGGAGGAGAGTAGATAGCGATTGATATTGCATTTAAATTTTTGCAGATTAAAGTTGTCGGAAAGCATGGAGCTGGAAGGGAGTTCCACAATCGAGAAGTGTGAGAAAAGAAACTCTTAGCATAGAACTTACGGTTACATCTAGTCAGCTCAACTGCAAATTGATGAGATCTCAATGCCAATTTAATACTGCGTTTATTTTTTTTTTTTAAACTAGGCACCTTAGCGAAGAGTTCATCTGAATAATTATCATGAAAATATTTATAGAAAAGACACAGGGAGGCAACCTTTCATTTGCGGTGGCAGTAACTGAAGCCGAGATGCCAGGTCAGGACCGAAAATATTGCTGATTCTTCGTTGGATTATATATATTATATAATATATTAGAATTGATTAGATTTATTCTAAAATAGAACATTATTTACGGAACAACCAAATACTGTATTGACATTTATAAATTACACATTTTTATTTTTTTTTATCGTTATCACCCGAATCAACGGAGTGGTGCCACTCAAAAACAAGGGGTTTAAAGTTGTGGAAGAATTAGGAACATAAACCTTAATGATGAGCAGAAAGAAAAGAGTAACCAGGTGGACAGCAGATAGCGATTGACATTGCATTTAAATGTTTGCAGATTGAAGCTGTCTGTAAAGCATGAAATCGGAAGAGAGTTCCACAGGCAAGAAGTATGAGAGTGTAGCGATAGGTGTACCATTATTGTTTATTCCCGACGGGATCTCTAAATATATAGTGGTTGTATTATCATCGTTGCAGTGATTGAGTTACTAATATATGTGATGGCTAAGAAAGATGAGATTAAGGACAATGTGTGAAAGCAATGCAATGCAATGCAATTTATACTTGACTTAAATAGCACATAGAATAAAATACAAAACTGAACTGAATGATTTCAAAACATAACAATTAGATTTATTAATGTTTGATGTACATGCATGCGAACTGAAAAGGTAGGACAGAGTCGTGTCCCTTTGATTTGGTAATATTTGTACCGGAGTTCATATTAAGAAAGTTTGGAATTGTGAGTTGTAAAGTTGGTAAAAGTTCAGGAGTGATTTCAGAGTTCGTGAATGTTGGTAATTGTCTTTAACGTCTGGCCAGCAATGACTAAGATGGGAGTTCCTGAAGGTTACATCTTGGCACTTGGTAGCAAGGAATGAGACGTGCGAGAGAGATGAATGGAAAGAAAAAACTCGAGGAAATTTACACGTGTTAGGTTTATATAATGGTCATGTACCACCTGGGAGGCTCAAACGGAGAACGCGGGAAAAACAGATTGGTCGCGTGCAGGCAGTTTGATTGGTCGGAACTGACCAATCAGCAAGCTAGATTGGAGTTGATTGACCAATGAATACTTGTTATATTTGTATGAAAGTAGGATGTTACTTACCAGATAGGTAAAGTGCATTTCCTAAAAAGAGGTAAGGTTGGTTTGTTGTGGAAGATTCCACAAGAGAAGAAACTGTTAACATAGAACTTAAGGTTACATTTAGTTAGCTCAATTGTAAATTGATGAGATCTCGACCCCAGTATAGTACTGCGCTAAAATTAAAAAAAAAAAACGTCTGGTACCATAGCGAAGACCTCATCTGAACAATTACCAGGAAAATATTTTTAGAAAACGTTTTGGAAGTTCTAACTTCGATTTTAACGTTTTACGTTGCCAGCGTCTGTCGTCCAAGAACGCTTTCACAAAAGATGAACCTTTTTCGAAATGGCGTTATAACTGGCAAATCATTCAGGATATTTAAATAGAAAAGACGGAAATATTTACGATAAATGGATATATTCATAACACTACGTGTTTCCCTTCTCCTTGCAATTTTTCTGCCTTTCTCGCAGGCAACTGTCAATGTCCCTTACAGGGCGGCCGTTTACGAACATGCGGTCCTGTCGGCGCCCGCCAAGATTGTAAGTCGTGAGGAGGCTGTGAAAAATATGATGAAAAATATTCGAATCTACGAGATACAAGCACAAATTGCTGCCAGCAAGGTCAGTGCCCATTTAAATATTCAACTATTTCTTTCTAATTTAAACAACCAAAATCCGTGAGTGTGGCCATTTGTTGGCATGTCGGAAGTCGATAGATCTTTAGTTGAGTAAGACCTCATTTTCTTTTTGAAAATGGTCGGAATTGGTGCGTTCACAGCATCACTAGGTAAAAAGTTCCATTTGTCTATCATCCTCATGACAAAGATTTTTTTTTTAAATAGCAATGATATTTCCAGATACAAGTCATACTATTTAATTCATAGATGGGGGAAGAAATAGATTCATAGGTTTGCCATGTGTGTTTCCATTCACCACCCACACATGCGCTCCTGTTTGAGAATGTGAAGTCATTGTTTTACGATGACAATTTTGTATTTTCGTAGAGTCGAGGTCAAATACCCTATGGCTACGTTATATTCACTTTCCCACACATAACCTTGGAAACGCTATGAATTCACCGCTTCTCCCCCCCCTCCCTAGCTGTAGTGATTTTCTAAGCGTAGCTTAGATGTGGCACAAGGACGAAAATAGTGGGTCGTAATTGTTCTAGCGAGACAAGCTTGCTTAGCCATTACACCACCTCGAGGTGCTCTTTCCCTAGTTAATATATGTTAATTAGTAAAACTTGTATCACTAAACCATTATCATTTAAAAAAAAATCCTCACAAAAATATTTTCTGGCTTTAAATAACCTGTAAAGGGTTGATAAGCCGTAGAAAACGAACCAATCAATGAAATACTGATTAGCTACAAAGGCATGTCTTTTAGATTTATTTACATTCTTTGGAATAGAAATGTAAAGAAACTATCGCGGTCACAAAGTGAGGGATCAGTTTATATACCGATCGTAATATAGAATTGATCCCCCACTTTATATCCACATTATAATTACTTGTTTGCTGATAAGCAGTAGAAAAGGAATGAACCAATCAATGAAATACTGATTAGCTACAAAGGCATGTCTTTTAGATTTATTTACATTGTTTGGAATAGAAATGTTTAAAAAATACCATGGCCTCAAAATGAGGGATCAGTTTATATATTTATTGTAATATATATTATATCTACATTATAATTTCTTGCTTGCTTATCAAATTCACATTAGGTATAAATCCACCTCTCCCCTCCCCGCATTAATTAGTAAGGCTTGTATTATAACCATTAGTATCTCTAAGAAAAAATTCTTACAATATCCTTTTTCTTTTTATTATTATTATTATTATTATTATTATTATTGTACTGCGCATTCCATACTCGTGTATTGGGTTAATAAAAAAAAACATATTTATAATAAGTTCCATCATTTGTGAATAGTTTCTGAAAGTTTCATTAAAATCCGACAATTATTTTTATTTTTGCAAGATTTTCAAAATTAATGTCTGTCATACAGAAAAAAAACGTGCTAAAATTTTATGTTATTTTACTAGTTTCGGTGATACAAAGAGAAACAATGTTTTTTTAATCACAATTTAGAATGTTCTAAAAAGAAGGAAAATTTTTCAAAATAATTTAAAAAAATACTTTGTTCTTTCCTCTTAATAATAACATAAACATTTTGACGATAAAATTTTGTTTTCGTCAAGTTTGGCGTCTTTTTCCTCCTGCTATGTTTTGTTTTTAGCGATTTCATGGCGTATGCTAAGTACAAAGAATGTTTTTAAATTTTGTGGGAACAAGATTTGTAAAGCATTGTTCATAACTTTTCTTTTATTGATTTGGTTATACAATAATACCTTGAGATACGAGCGTGCCGACATACGAGTTTTTTTGAGATACGAGTCAGAGACCGGCTGAATTTTGTGATACGATTGAGTTTCTGTTATGCATCCGCTGGTTGGCGCAGCGAGCGCCCAGCTTTGAGATTACACTTGTTCACTTTACTCTGGAAGGACCTCTGTTGCCCTGTGTTATCTCTTTTTTGCCCTTTAGTTTGCAAAATTCCTGTAGGGACACCATGAATCCGAAGAAAGACAAGAATAAAGATCAGTGGTATCACCATTCGACATCGACAATAAATAAAAAAGAATATTAAATTTAAAAAGTTAAAAAAAATTACTTATAGTAATGGATAAAATGTAAATGTTTTAAAAAACTTTTAAATTAAATGGTAAATTAATTTTTGGTATCGTAGACTAGGCTAGCCGTTACTAGGCTATGTTAGCGGTTTCTAGACAAGGTTAGCAGTTCTAGTCTAGGTAAGTGGTTTCTAGGTAAGGTTAGCCATTTCTAGACAAGGTTAGCGGTTCCTAGGTAAGGTTAGCGGTTTCTAGTCTAGGCTCGCCGTTACTAGGTAAGGTTAGCGGTTTCTAGTCTAGGTTAGTGGGTTCTAGTTAAGGTTAGCGGTTTCTAGACAAGGTTGATGGTTCCTAGGTAAGGTTAGCGGTTACTAGTCTAGGTTACCGGTTCCTAGGTAAGGTTAGCGGGTTCTAGTTAAGATTAGCGATTTCTAGACAAGATTAGCGGTTCCTAGGCAAGGTTAGCGGTTCCTAGGTAAGGTTAGCGGTTTCTACGTGAGGTTAGCGTTTTCTAGATAAGGTTAGCGGTTTCTAGGTAAGGTTAGCGGCTTCTAGGCAAGGTTAGCGGTTTCTAGGCTAGGTTGACGGTTTCTAGGTATGGTTAGCCATTTCTAGGCTAGGTTATTGATTTCTAGGCTAGGTTAGCGGTTCCTAGGTAAGGTTGGCGGTTTCTAGTCTAGGTTAGCGGTTTCTTGAAAAGGATAGCCGTTCCTAGGTAAGGTTAGCGGTTTCTACGTGAGGTTAGCGGTTTCTAGACAAGGTTAGCAGTTTCTAGGTAAGGTTAGCGGTTTCTAGGCTAGGTTGACGGTTTCTAGATATGGTTAGCGATTTCTAGGCTAGGTTAGCGGGTTCTAGTTAAGGTTAGCGTTTTCTAGACAAGATTAGCGGTTCCTAGGAAAGGTTAGCGGTTCCTAGGTAAGGTTAGTGGTTTCTACGTGAGGTTAGCGGTTTCTAGACAAGGTTAGCGGTTTCTAGTCCAGGTTGACGGTTTCTAGGTATGGTTAGCCATTTCTAGGCTAGGTTAGCCATTTCTAGGCTAGGTTAGCCATTTCTAGGCTTGGTTAGCGGTTTCTACGTAAGGTTAGCGGTTTCTACTTAAGGTTAACGGTTTCTAGATAAGGTTAGCAGATTCTACGCTAGGTTAGCGGTTTCTACGTAAGGTTGGCGGTTTCTAGTCTAGCTTAGCGGTTTCTAGAAAAGGTTAGCCGTTCCTAGGTAAGGTTAGCGGTTTCTAGGCTAGGTTAGCGGTTTCTACGTGAGGTTAGCGGTTTCTAGACAAGGTTAGCGGTTTCTAGGTATGGTTAGCGATTTCTAGGCTAGGTTAGCGGTTTCTACGTGAGGTTAGCGGTTTCTATGTTATGTTAGCGGTTTCTAGGCTAGGTTGACGGTTTCTAGGTAAGGTTAGCGTTTTCTACGTAAGGTCAGCTGTTTCTAGGTGAGGTTAGCCGTTTCTAGGTAAGGTTAGCTGTTTCTACGTAAGGTTAACGGTTTCTAGATAAGGTTAGCAGATTCTACGTTAGGTTAGCGGTTTCTAGGTAAGGTTAGCGGTTTCTATGCAGTTTAGCGGTTTCTAGGCCATGTTAGTGGTTTCTAAGTAAGGTTTGCGGCTTCTATTAAGGATAGCGTTTTCTAGGTATGGATAGTGGTTTCTAGGCTAGGTTAGCGGTTTCTAGGTGAGGTTAACAGTTTTTAGGCTAGGTTGACCGTTTCTAGGTAAGGTTAGCGATTTCTAGGCTAGGTTAGCGGTTTCTAGGTAAGGTTTGTGGTTTTTAAGTAAGTTTAGCGGTTTCCAGGTAAGGTTAGCGGTTCCTACTTAAGCTTAGCGGTTTCTAGGTGAGGTTAGCGGTTTATAGATTAGGTTAGCGGTTTCTAGGTAAGGTTATCTGTTTCTAGGTAAATTTTTTTAGGTAAGGTTAGCAGTTTCTAGACAATGTTAGCGTTTTCTAGTCTAGGTTAGCGTTTTCTAGTCTAGGTTAGCGGTTTCTAGTCAGGGTTAGTGGTTTTTAGGCTAGGTTAGCGCTTGACCGATTCTGAACTTCATGGTTTACTACAGTTTTTTTTCCTTACAACTTGTTTTTTCTCTTTAATTTTATTGTTTGTACCTTACATTTCTTGTTTATTCAAAAGTTTTGCTTCTCAGAAAGCCATGAATACAAAAATTGGGATGAGTCTTAGGAAAATAAGAGTAATTTTTAGGGACCTGGAACGGATTGTAAATATTCCCAATAATTTCAATGGGAAAATTGATTTGTAATACAAGTCTTTTGAGTTAAGAATTCGGTTTAGGAACGAATTAAAATTATATCTCAAGACATCACTGTATTTGTTTTTTATAAGTGCTACCTACTTTTGTCAGATAGCTACAGGCATGAAAATATTACTGATGCCTGATATCGTAACCTGAACATGCTGACTACTGCGCAATAAAGATGCAATTAAAATACAAAATAAATATATAAGAGTTGTTTAGACTTGCAAATTAGCGTTATTTCTTCGGCACCTGTGTAAATGTTAAGAAACCGGAACTTTTCGTCGGAAAGAAAGAAAAAGCTTTTGAACTGTTATGTAATATCGTCGCACTTATATGGCTATAAATGCTGGTTAATCTCATCACAAATGAAGAAATAAATTAAAACAGCAGAAGTATATTTTCCATTCGATGTATCTAATACAAAAAATATCAACTTTATTTGGATTTATTTTTTGATATAGTAAATTTACTTAAGCAGTTTGTAAGCAAAAACCTGCAGAAATTAGTTTTTTATTTATAGTTTTCAGACGATTTTTAAAACCAAATGTTTAAAAATGGCTGAAAGCTATAAATCTAATTTTTCATGTCAGTACTTATCACGTCAAACCCCAGCTTTCAAATCAAGTGCAATGTTGATTTTCTAAACAAAGCAAACATTGAAAATATATTCAAACCAGAATTCTAATTACGAATCACCACA